TAAAAGATTCGCGCCACCTTTTCATCCAATCAGAAGTAAAACCAAAGCCAATTGTGACGCGCTCGCATGCATTTTCCCGCGCTTTGCGTCAGCCACATGTAATTACTTCGAGTTTTGATTGGTTCAATGTATTGTCTGTGTCCTATGTGATTGGCCAGAGTAATTACTTTGGTTTTGGTTTTACGACACTCAAACGAAAACCACTCTATTGGTGAAAACTTGGGTAAATGCCAAGCACGAAAATTCAGGTCTCATAAGAGGTCATGTTTTAATAAGAATGTTACAATTTAATAATTGCTACAAGAGATGCAAGTAACTCACACAGATTTAACCGACTGTTTCTGTTTAATAACCAATTCGGGCAATAAAATCATTAAACCTATCCGATACCAAACATATATAAAATGTCAGCAAGTCCACAACAACAAACCAATGAGTGGTGCTGGATCTCCCAGTTGTAGACCTGGATAAATAAATAAATAAATAAATTGGTTTATTGCTACCTTTTGCAGTGAGAACTGAATTACAGGTAGGGTCAGAAATAACGGGAATCTAAGGTAATAAATAATACAAAATAAGTATGTAAGGCGCTTAGGAATCTAAATAGGTGGCATATTTGCACGTTACAAACTGTGCAAAACGGTCCGTGTTGGTTTGTTTGGTTACAATGTTGGTATTCCTTCTAAGATTGTAAGTACAATTAAACTTGTAGAAAAATATGAAACGGCAAACTGATCCTTACGGCAAGGCGATGAAGAAGTAAACAAAAGAATAAAACAAAAAAATATGTATTTAAACAAATTACCCGATATTTATTGACTTTCCATACAATGTACATGGAAGAACTGAAACTCACCTTCAAAGTAAGGCCAATCGGCACAGTGCGAAAGGCAGTTAGTTTTAAATTGTATAAGGATCCTTCAGAAGTGAGAGCAAAATAAAACACGGCAACGATGCTGCTTTCCAGATACGCTGAAAACATGCATACACTAATGTAGAAAACTTAGCTCGTGACAAACTTGTGCTTGTTTAAAATGATTACGAAAAGCAGATTACACATTGTGCAAACTGCGTTGTAAGATACGAATAAGCCAAAATTGTATGTTGAGGTACATAAAGGCACGACTACAGCTAAAACCAGCAAAGAAAAAATTGGAAGCAAACCAGTCGCTACGAATAAGTTTTAAAAAATTGGCAGGAACAACCCAAGTGGAAGTACAAGCTAACCGATTGTACAGTAAGAAACAAAATATCTGAAAATGCCACCGCAGCAAAACAATTAGAGTAAACACAACACGGCTAAAAAGAAGATATAAGATCTCGCTATGCAAAGTATGTTTCCTTACTAGGAAAGATAGACAGCGTGATCGTGAGCCTAGCCCTTTTGGGCCTTTTTACAGACCGAAATGAGGCATTTCCCTGCCCTTTCATACACTTCAGCTAGTGAAATATCTACCCTTTTTCATACCTGACGCCTAAAAAAGGTACCCCTTTCGCGAGGAGCCTCTCCATATAGGCCATTATGTGGAGTACCCCCCGGACAAGAAGCATCATAAGTGACCTCCGGAATGAACACACTCATCTAATAAACACGCTTATCCGCAGTAAAAGATTTCGAGTGTGCATTTTAAAAAGCGGATAGATTCATGACTAACTTAAAGGGAAACCAATTTACGAACAAACTCTTCAGAGTGAACCGTATGGTTAAACCTCTACGATTTGATTAGCAACCACGTACTAACAGAGTTTGAGGAACTTAGAGAATGAACCACAACTACCTAAACTACCTGGTTAAACTAATACTGTTTTAAGCCCTTGACGAAGGGCTGTTCTTAACTGCTATACTACTTCTTGTCAAACATACCAGAAACGCCTACTGTACTTGAGCTTAGTTCAGAAAAAACATACACGAAAAAAATGGCAATTGAGCACGTCAATCAACTTTTGTATAATTTCATAACATCTTCTTACGGTAGTAAACTGGTTAGGTCCGCTTGAATGCCTATTGAAGCTAGCCTGTTCCAAACTAAAAAGCTAAACAACTGATGACATTCCACAACAGTTCAAAAAATTGAATGAGTTCATTTTCATCCCGGGTCGGTTGGCAGTGTTTTAAATCATAAAACTGCTACTGATAACAAACTAAAAAACTTTTTCTTGGCTTTAAACCAATTTGGTTCAGTTTAGTCAATTTAACTAGTCTGTTCGGCCGCTCTAACAGGGGAACCCAACGAGATGATAGTTCAAAATCACTTAAACATAGCATTGTTAAACGTATTTTAGTAGATATAGTCATATTTTTATCCCCTAAAAATTTTTCATCTGTTCGGATTTTCTAGCTGAAAGTCAGAAAATATAGGGATCAAAACTTACCTTTTCGAAAATTTTAGCCAGAGAAAAGGCTTCCGAAAATTCTAGGTGACCTTCTTAGGGAAAAAATCCGTTAAAAATGGGCAATTATACCATTTTTTATATGTTCGAAAATCCTAGGAGAGGCAGGCAAGCAAGAAATTGTACAACAAATGTTTCGAAAATGCTAGATCTCAAATCGTCTTCGAAACAGATATTTTCGGAAAAACTGACGTTGTGTACCCCTGGCTCTAACTAAGTTCAATCGTGGTATTGCATACGATTAAAGAAAATTTCAGATGCGCTGACTTTTCTCCTACGAACAGGACGACTTTTTTTATTGTATTCCTCAAAATAGCCACAAGCTGTCAACAAAACCAAAAAGTTTAGATAAACTAGAGATATACCCACCATCGACCATCAATGACATTGGAATTATTATCTATTTATAGTTTTAGTTCAAACAGTTAAATGAGACACGGTAGGGGTGGTGTCCGGGATGGGAATGAGTTTAGCAGGGTTAATTCTTCCTTTCATACGCTGTCAGCTGTCTGTTCTGGTACCGCGGAGTTGGTACGTGTGCTTCATTACATAAATTGGTACTGTTCTGGGCCCAGTTGTTCGAAGCATGGTTAGCGTTAACCAGCGTTTAGTACCTTGACAACGTATTGGTTTTGATACTGCTTAACCAATGGTTAATACAATATTTCTACCTAGTCTAGGTTTTATGACAGCCCAGTGTACGCCTTCTCGCGTCTAGTCATCTTTGAATCTCTTACACTAAAACAAATTGATCTTTGTGGTAAAACCATTATAACACAGGTATTAATTAGACTAAACTTTATTATGCTATTATTTTGCTTAAAGAAAAAACTCCACTCACGGATTTGGATATGAGCCGATTATACATTACATCAGTAACTGATATCTTTTAAATTGTAATATCATATGGAAATCGCTCTTGTACATTCTTCCTTTTCCCGCCGTATACAAGCCAAGCGTATCCAACGCTTGACATGCGTCGGTCAGGCTCAAATACACAGCGAGACCTTTCAATGAATTGCCTTTTGTCGTTTCACGAATAAAGGACTCGACAGTTGGTGATTTAAGTTCGTTTGAAAAAGTGGAAGATAAGTACATCCCCACCTGCTCCAGCTCAATCCACAGAAACGCGACACCAGGTGTCAATGCCTTCCGCGAGCCATACGGGTTGCCTCTTAGACCTATAAACCAAGACAAAAAACTGATAAAATAGCGGATATGACTATGAAACAAATGCAATTGCTGATTACGAAGCACTTTCCCGACATCTTTAACGCGTGATAGAAGCTCCAGACTTGTCACTCCAAAACAGTGTATACTCTGTGTCACGCAGGTCACCCGCCCACGCAGTGAATTTCTTAGAAACAGAAAAGGTCATCAATAACGACAGGAGCTAACAGTTCCAGTGTGTGCAAAGAACTTGCAAGAAATTATCTCAGAAATATCTCAGATGTATATTCGTGCAGAATGGGTTTTTGTCTCGATCATTCGGTGGTCTGTTAACTTGGCTTAACTTGGTGGTGTCGTTTTGTTAGTGTTTTTAACTTTTATCTTGGTTATCGGTGAAAACTTGGCTAAGTGGACAAAAATTCAGGTCACATAACAGGACGCGACTTTATGAGAATGTGATGATTTTTAAATAATTACTACAAGAGATGCCGTATGTTTAGTTTTTTGAATATTTAGTTACCTTAAGACATCGCGACGCGGGAAAAATAGGCCAGGTGACTGCACGCGCATTGGAGTAAAAAGGCAAAAATAATCGAAATCGGCGAAGAAAAATCACCGATGGGCTCGCTTCGCTCGCCGATATTTTTCCTTTTTTTTTTCTTGCCTTTTTCCCCCACTGCGGAGTCTGGTCCCAGGCTACCGATCACGCATCGAAGATACGAAGCTTACCAAGCCACACATGGGACACAAATTGTAAGTTAATATTTACCCGTCATCGCTTCAGCCGACATTCATTTGTATGGTAATCTTTTTTTGTAATATTAATTTAAATTTCAATTGACTACTACTGAGACGATATATTCGGACGACACGATTCGGATTTGTAGCGTCAAGTGCAAATAAATTCCAAGTGCGTGAAACTCGTGTTAGTGGTTAATCCTCAACTAAAAATAGCCCCTTCACACACTAGCCTGCGTGGCAGGCGTTAAAAGGGGAAGGGAAAGGGGCAATTTGGGCACGCACTGATTCCCTTCCCCTTCCCTTTCGAACGCTTGCCACGCAGGCTATTCACACACAGGGGCGAAACACAAGGAGCAAGGGCGGCAGAGTACAGTTGATTAGTGCACGGCCTTCGGTGCGGGAGGTTCCAAGTTATCCGAGTTCGATCCCTGGTGACATAACTTCCTTACTTCAACTTCTCTCCTCTCTGAGTAACTTTGACTAGTGTTAGATACCCTTAAAACAGAGCATTGATGGTAGAGAGGTGGGGGGAGGGGGGGAGTATAATGAGCCGGCGCACCGTCAGACCTCGAGTTTATCAGTTATTACTGTCATGAGTTATCCTCAAATTTGGAATGACATTCCTCTCTCACTTCGTAATTCATTTACTCTTTCTAGTTATCAACATAAACTGAGAGATTATTTTCAATCATTATAAGTTTAAACTAAGTTGAACTCAAATTTTTCTACCTTCAAACTCTTTTCTTTATTACTTTTTGAACACTATGGTTAATTGTTATGTTTATTTTGCTTTATATGCAGTAATAATTCTTTAAATGTTGTAATAGTTTGCCTTTTCTCTGCAAATCTTGTAATTATTAATTTTTATTCTCATTGAAACTTAGCAGCACATTGTAACTCTCTGACGTAGGCCATATAAGCCTCTGGCTTTGGCGTCTTATTATCGTTAACTTGTGCTTTGTGTACTTATTTATCAATAAAGAAAATAAAGACATAAAGACATAAAATAAGGTTGCTTCACCTTTCACCTTTTTTACACAAGTAACACATACAGACTTAACGGATTATTTCTGGTCAATAACCAATTCTGGCGACAAAATCATCAAACCTAGCCAGTGCCAAACATGCCCACTACCTATCATCAAATTGGGAACGCTTCGCATACTACAAACAATCTTTTTTCTTATATTCTTACTCTTTTTAATTTCTTATACACGCAGAAATTTCCATGATGCCTCCTCGAGTAGTCACTAGGGAGGTGAAATCTGTACCCCGAAAACTAAAAAAAGGTTGTTTAGCCTCATGTTTGTCCCCACCGTAGTTTGCGTTTTATTTCTAATCAAGCTTCGTTGACCTAAGACGAACAGCATTTATGATCTGCTAGACTTGGTCAAGACCTGAAGATCACAAAGATTTAAAAACATTCTGATTAGGGGGACAGGCTGAAAAGTATTTTTCACGGCCCTGCAGGTCTCATTTTATCACAGAGTAACATGGGGACTGTGTTCCCCGAGCTCCTTCTTTAACAAATACTATACATTACATTACATTACATTACATTACATTACATTACTTTACATTACATTACATTACATTACATTACATTACATTACATTACATTACATTACATTACATTACATTACTTTACATTACATCACATTGCATTACATTACATTACATTACAGTAATGATTGTCTTCAAAATACATGTATTATAAAAAGCGCTGTCGAACTCCACTCGAACCCTCATACTTACGCTGTACATCATGAAAACAACTATCCGCTACATTTCGTATCAGTGGCACATTCAGCTTTAACAAATGAACCCCTTTTTATTACAGCTTAGCCTTGGCTCGTTCCCAGTCATCTCTCGGTCTCCTATTGATATTCACGAGAGAAGCGCATGGGAGAGCGAAGGGTGATGGGAAGGAGCAAAAAGAGGAGACCACTGGTAGATCCTGTGTTTTCTTTTTTTCTTTCTTTTTTCGCTGTTTTTTAGTTTTATTTGGAATTTTCATTTTACAGAGTACACTCATTGAATCTAACAAGGAAAAGGCAAAAACAAAAAGAAATAAAACCAAATAAAAGAAATAAAAATAGCAAGTAATGAAATAACGATAGTCACACCTACCACCTAAACCTAAACTGTTCAAGCAAACCATTATATAAGTCGATAGAAAATACAACATCTTTACATTTACATACAATATTCAATTGTCAAGACGATTGATTAACTTTTCCCAGTTACTAAAATGGCCCTTTTTCCTGGCAATATAAAGATCAACGTTGGTAAATACGCCTAGTCCTGGAAATGAATCACCGAAGGGAGGGCATACCCTTTTGACATTTTTGTTAATAAATATAATGATACTTCCCAAGTAGTAAACTGTGATTGATTAACTTCTTTAACATCAAATTTATCGAAGATTGTATCCTCTTTTTTTTAAGTTCTCAACAATGATATTATCACCTTGCAACCAGGACAATACAATACAATATTCTTTATCTAACGAAGGTGACGTAATAACCCAATGAGTTATCTAACTTACGGCCTTTACAACAATACAAAATACAGATATAAAAACAATGCCTAATCAGTAATATACGACTACAACAAGAGAAAAAATTGAACTAGACAAATGTATGTTTTAACATAGATATAAGATGATATAAACTAAATAATTACCTTCTAATACAGTTACAATAAAGAGAAAAACGGCAATCATAACACATTAATTCTTCAAGGCATGTTTTCAAAATCAGCGATGCTTTCCAGGAAAAGAGTTAATGCTCGATGATTCAACCTCAGTTTGGCAGAAAGCAATTTATCTGATTCAACCACGTCAAAACTAAAAAGTTTCTCGTTTGTATTAAAATTCAATACAGCGCATTTTGAACTGAAATTCCTTAAGTTTGGATTCTAACGCTATACGCTGGGAAAGATAGCAAGTAAACTCTTTTCCAATCAACAGTTAATGCCAGATCCGCTTTCAAGATGGCGGATGATTAATGGCGGACTAAGGTGAAATTTTAAACTTGGAAAATAGGCCATTTCATTGGGCCTATTTGACCAAGAAGTACCTTGCCGTCATGTGCCCTTTCGTTTCCTCCTTCCCATCACCCCTCGCGCTTCTTCGGTCGCGTGTGCGATCCAAATAGAGACGAACGGGGACGAGTCAGAGCCGAGAGAGCTTAGCCTGTTCCAGGCTCTCACATAGTGTTCGCACTTTCTCAATTTCACGGACCCGACAATCTCGGAGCCTGGAACAGGCTTTCCGGGAGAACGCTGAGAGTAGGAAATGGTCGGTCACAATCATGGAAAACAGACACCTTTTCGGTCTGTATGTTTTGTCTCCCTCTTCAGGTGACGTGATGTTCTTTAGGCAATTTGCTTTATGTCCTTTCATAAATTGTACTTACATATGCGCGTATTTAAAAGAAATTTGAAAGAAACAATTCTCTGGGGTAACATCACGTGGCATGAAATGGGTTAACAAACCATACAAGCTAAAAAGGCCTATTGAAAAGTTCCGAGTTAGGAAAACGGTGGACTCTTTTAACACTTCTATAATACAGTCAAACCTCTTTAATACGGACACCAAAGGGACAGTACCAAGTGTCCGCTTTACACAGGTATCCGTATTATAGAGGTAGGGAACGGTATATATAATTTTTGGCATTATGGGGACCAAACGAACTGTCCGTATAATAGAGGCGTCCGTAAGGAGAGGTTAGACTGTGTGCTTTAACGGCTCTTGATCGGAAATCGAATTAAATTTAGAAATTACAACCGCCCAATAAGCCGCGCATTTGATCGCTGTACACATCTCGGAACAAAATTTACTTCTATAGTATCCTAACTTTCTTTGGCTCTTCTTATCTAACTTTATGTTTATACTATGCACCATGATCACTTCACAAACCGTTGTTTCAGTTTTTAGTAAAACCGTAGAGTCCGAAGAACTCAATCAGTAAAACTTGGGAAGGTTGGTTTACGTCTCCGAAAGTCCCTCAAACAGCGATTCCACCGGCTTATTGAGTTTCCGTATGATGTGCATGGAAGAACTGAAACTCACTTTCAAAGTAAGTCCGATCGCCAAAGTGCGAAGGGCAGTTAGTTTTAAGTTGTTTAAGGATCCTTGAGAATTGAGAACAAAATAAAACACGGCAACGATGCTGCTTTCCAGATACGCAAAAATCATGCACACACTAATGTAGAAAACGTAACGCGTGACAAACTTGTGCTTGTTTAAAATGATTAAGAAAAGCAGATTACACATTGTGCAAACGGCGTTGTAACATGCGAAAAAGACAAAATTAACCTGAAAATTGTATGTTGAGGTACATAAAGGAACCAATACAGCTAAAACCAGCAAAGAAATATTTGAAGCAAACCAGTCGCTACGAATAAGTTTTAAAAAATTGATAGGAACAACCCAAGTGTTAGTACAAGCTAACCGACTGTACAGTAAGAAACAAAATATCTGAATAGGTGACCACAGCAAAACAGTTAGAGGAAACGCAATAGATTCGTATAAGTCCATGTTGTGTATTAGGTCGGAGAGGAAGGATATTACTCTGGAATTTCTGTTGTCAAATCTAAAAAACGAGTAACCTCCACTAGATATTCCAATCGGAAGAGCTGCAATGATAAGTATTAGGTAAGAAAAACACAATACCCCTTTGTAAAAGAACTTTTTCAAACTTTTCACCCTTCCAGTGCGTCGGGGTTGTCTTGTATATTCAACGTCAAGTAACGGTTGTTTCTCGCAGCTTCTTTGGCTAACAGAAGAGCCTTGGTAATTTAGGGGCAAAAGTTGACGTGACTCCTCAGTTCCATTTTCACCTTCTTCCATGGTTCGAATTTCGTTTTCAACAGCATTTCTTTCGTTTTCAGTAGTTCGCTCTTCCGCTTCTCGTTGATCATCTTGACTGTCAGACGTCCAACAAAATTTCCTTGTACGTCTCATCCACTCGAGTGTAATTAAAGGGCCAATAAGAAACCAAAAATACAGTCTCTTTAAGTAAGATTTCATTTGCGTGAGTTCATCTGTATAGGCGAAAATGTCAACATACTTAGGTAGATCTGCATTCGAAAGCCATGAATCAGCAAAATCAGTCGGCTCGTCCGCCATGTCCTCAATTGCCACTAGAATTAACACTTTGTTTTTACTGTTCTTCACTGTCGCTATGGCATAAGATGCGGCAAAATATATCAGCACAGAATAACCTGCATTCTGTACATTTTCGGCAAGCTCTTGTAACGTACATGTAGATTCATTCACAAGGGTGACAAGAGCTATCTTGGG